ACCCATCCTGATTTTCCAGATCCTGATTTCATTTTGGTCCAGCCAACATTTAGGGTGTGAATGAATGGACAGGAGACCTTGTCTCTCTTTCAAATAAAAATTTTTAAAAAGTCAATAAAAAAATTTAAATCATAATTAAACGGGATTGAAAGACATTTGTTTTGGTGCAAAGAAACATTGAAATCCCAAAGAAAAAACACAGAGGAAAAAGTCTTAAAAACTTCACAGGATAGATTACGGGAACTTTTACTTTTTTGGCTTATAGATCGGAAGTATTTGAATTTTTTTTTATGTCGGGCATGTATTATTTTTATAGTTGGGAGAGAAAAAGGTTAAGAAAATAAGCCTTCACTTCCCCACATTCCATTGATAGCTCAGCCCACTGTCATTTGCGTGTCTCCCATCCCACCCTGCTTTAACTGTCGGCCAGGCTTGCCAGCACTTCCTGCCAATGCCAAGAGTTTGTTTTCCCTTCTAGTTCCAGCTCATGCAACTCCTCTGTCAGTCCCTGCAGTCTCACACTCTTGGAGACACAGGACCCTAGCTGACTGCTTTCTCAGTTCCTGTAGTAGACCAGATGACCTCCGTTCTTGCCCCCAAGCTACCCACTCCCCAAACTTAAGCACCTGCAAGTATGTCACCTTGGCTGACAGAAGAGTGTTAGCAGACGTGACGCCATCAGAGACCTTGATGTTGGAGGTGATCCTGGCAGCTTGGATGGGCACCATGGGATCCCACCCCAGTTGCAAAGGCAGAAGAAGGAGGCAGGAGGAAGAGCCCTGGCTGGCCACAAGACAAAGGAAGCGGAGGCTAGAGCCTAACCCTGCCAGCTGGAAGAGCAGCGGCCAGCCGGGGAATGGAAGGAGGGAAAGCCAAGTCCAAGCCTTAGAGCTGAGAAAGACGACATATTTTGACAACACTTTGACTTTGGCCCAGCAAGACCCATTTGAGATGTCTGCCCTCCAGAACTCAAGGACAAAAAATTCGTGTTGTTGGTGGTGACAGCAGGTGCCCCCTGGCCTTCCTACGGCCTCACCTCTGCTGCTCCCAAGGTCTCTCCAGCCCCTCCCACTGGGCAAGCTCATTTGCTCTCAGAATGTCACTTCCCACCCAGCAGCAGAGGATTCTCTGATGTGTCCTTCTAGCCTGGATTTTTCTTCTAAATTCCTGATGCCTATTTGCAACATCTGCAACATGTCCACCCGGTGGCTTTTCTGGCATCTCAACATGTTTAAGCCTGAATCAATCGTCTTTAAAGCAGATTTCCTTCTGTACTGTTCAACTTTCTTAAAAAAAAAAAAAAAATTCAGGGCCCAGCATGGCCTAGCAGCTAAAGTCCTCGCACTGAAAGCACCAGGATCCCATATGGTCGCCGGTTCTAATCCCGGCAGCTCCACTTCCCATCCAGCTCCCTGCTTGTGGCCTGGGAAAGCAGTTGAGGATGGCCCAAAGCTTTGGGACCCTGAAACACACGTGGGAGACCCGGAAGAGGTTCCTGGTTCCCAGCTTCAGATTGGCGCACTACCGGCTGTTGCGGTCACTTGGGGAGTGAATCACTGGACAGAAGATCTTCCTCTCTGTATATCTGACTTTGTAATAAAAATAAATAAATCTTAAAAAAAAATTCATTCTAGGGGCTGGTGTTGTGATGCAGTAGGTTAAGCCACTACCTGCAGTGCCAGCATCCCATATGGGCACTGGTTCATATTCCAGCTGCTTCATTTTTTTAAAGGATTATTTATTTTTATTGTAAAGGCAGATATATACAGAGAGGAGGAGAGACACAGAAGATTTTCCATCTGATGGTTCACTCCCAAAGCGGCCACAATGGCTAGAGCTGAGCCAATGTAAAGCCAAGTGCATCTTCCACATCTCCCACATGGGTACGGTGTCCCAAGGCATTGGGCCGTCCTTGACTGCTTTCCCAGGCCACAAGCAGGGAGCTGGATGGGAAGCATGACTATCAGGATCAGAATCGGTGCCCGTATGGAATCCTGGCGCGTTCAAGGTGAAGACTTTAGCTGCTAGGCTATCACGCCAGGCCCTCCATTTTTTTATTTGAATTTTTGTTTTTGTTGTTATTGTTTTTGTTTTTTGGGTCCTCCATTTTTTATCTAATTTCTTGCTAATGATCTTGGGAAAACAGTAGAAGATGGCCTAAGTGCTTGCACCACCCATATGGAAGACCCAGATGGAGTTCCTGTGTTTGGCTTCTTCCTGGTCCAGTCCTGGCCACTGCAGCCATTTGAGAGTGAACCAATGGATGAAAAACGTTTCTCTCATACTCTTTTTCTCCCTCTCTTCCTGTTTAATTCTGCCTTTGAAATAAGTAAATAAAACCTTAAAAAAAAAGTTGGGCTCGGCGGCATGGCCTAGCAGCTAAAGTCCTCACTCTGAACATGCCGGGATTCCATATGGGTGCTGGTTCTAATCCCGGCAGCTCCATTTCCCATCCAGTTCCCTGCTTGTGGCCTGGGAAAGCAGTCGAGGATGGCCCAAATTGTTGGGACCCCGTACCCACGTGGGAGACCCGGAAGAGGTTCCTGGCTCCTGGCTTTGGATCGGCGCAGTACTGGCCATTGCGGCTCACTTGGGGAATGAATCATCAGATGGAAGATCTTCCTCTCTGTCTTTCCTCCTCTCTGTATATCTGACTTTGCAATTAAAAATAAATAAAATCTTTTTTAAAAAATGCTTTCAGAAAATTCATTCTCAAGGCAGAAAAGCAGAGTTAACAAGACCTATAGGGCTCTCTGTCATTTGCTGGTTCACTCTTAAGATGCTCACAGCTTAAGCTGGGCTGGCCAAAGCAGGGAGTCAGGACCTCAATCCACATCTCCCACCTTGCTGGCAAAGATGCAGTTATTGTAGCTGTCACCACTACCTCCCAGAGCCTATGTTAGCAGGGAGCTGCAACCAGGCGCTGGCATCAAGTGTTGAACCCACACACTCCAATGTGGCATCTAGGCTTTTTTTTAAAGTCTTATTTATTTTTATTGGAAAGACAGGTTTATAGGGAAAAGGAGATACAGAGCAAAGATCTTCCATTCACTGATTCACTCCCTGACACAACAGCCAGAGCTGAGCCCATCTGAAACCAGGAACCAGGAGCCTCTTCCTAGTTTCCCATGCCAGCCTAAAATAAAATCTTTTGAAAAATCAGTGCCTTGAGCCAGCGCTTGGTGCAAGAGGCTAATCCTTCACCTTTAAGTACCAACATCCCATATGGTTGCTGGTTCAATGTCCTGGTTGCTTCATTTCCCATTCAGCTTGTGACCTGAAAAAGCGCAGAGGGTGGTCCAAGTCTTTGGGTCTCTGCACCCATGTGGGAGATCCAGAAGAAGTTCCTGGCTCCTGGCTGTGGATTAGCTCAGCTGTGGCCATTATGGCCATTTGGGGAGTGAATCAGCACATGGAAGATCTTTCCTTTTCTGTTTCTCTTTCTCTCTGTAAATCTTTCAAATAAAAATAAATAAATCTTGGACCCGACAACATAGCCTAGTGTCTAAATCCTTGCTTGCATGCACCAGGATCCCATATGAACGTGTGTTAATATCCCAGCTGCTCTACTTCCCATCCAAGTCCCTGTTTGTGGTCTGGGAAGGCAATAGAGGACGGCCCAAAACCTTGGGTTCCTGCACCTGCGTGGGAGACCCAGAAGACGCTCCTGGCTTCAGATCAGCTCTGCTCTGCTGTTGCGGCCACTTGGGGAGTGAACAAGTACACAGAAGATCTTTCTCTCTGTCTCTCCTTGTATATCTACCTTTCCAATAAAATAAACAAGTAAAATAAATTTTTAAAGAAAAAAATTAGCATCCCAAGAAGCAGCAAATATAGTAGACTTATTTCTGGCGCTCCCACCACAACCTATTGGTTAACTGTCAAGTGCCAGGGCTTCCAGCTCATTAATTCCAGTGCTGCTAGGCTGTGCTGGATCGAAGAATCAAACTCAAAAGAAACTGAAAACACCGCAGGCAGACAACACAAAATAGATAAAACCATTTCCGTGGGAAAGGCATTGGGGCATAGCTGGTTAAGGTGCCATCATAATGCTGGCATTCTGCATGGGTGCAGGTTTCAGTACTGGCTGGGCTGCTTCGTTCCTGGCTCCTGGCTTTGGCCTGGACCATCCCAAGTTGTTGCAGCCATTTGGGGAGTGAATCGGCAGATGAAGATCTCTTTTTTTCTCTTTCCACCACCCTCCCCTTGTCAACTCTGCCTTTCAGAGAAATAAAATAAATCTTAAAATCACTTCCACAGACTGTGTAGCTTGTGATCTGTGGCAGAGAAGGCGAGAGGGCTTAGCACAGCATCCACAGCCCTCTACACCCTACACCCTTCTCTCCTTGGCCCGACACTCCCTCTTTTCTGCCTCACACCCTGCAAGCCAAGTCCCATCACCAGAAAGTTCTCCCAGTTTCCCTACAGCACTATGTTGCCTGGGGACGCCTGTCCTTACCCGGTTCCTCCACTGAGAGTGCCTGCCGCCCTCCATGTATGACTTGAGTGCCCTAACCTTCAGGGAGATCTCAGAGCTGAATTCTGAACTCCCAGACTCCAGGGCACTTCAAACACAGCCCACCATGCCCCGAGCTCTTTTATCTACCCAGAGCAGCCCTGAAGCTCTCAGAGAGCAGCCAACAGACTGGGCCATATATTCAGAAAGAATGACAGGCAATGCACACGCAACCCCTGGTGAACTGCCTGGGTAACTGAGTGACTTGGGTCACAGCTTCCTGTTAGTTCCTTCACTCAGCCCTGGCTTACTTAGCTCTTCTCCAATCCTCCTGATCTTCCCAAAACATTTTCAGGTTTAGAGGGGACTGTCATCCTTGGCCCTTCCAGGGTCTAATTTCAGTCCCTGCCTCTTCCTTTCAAACATCTGTGCTTCTCTTCCTTCCCCAACCCTTTCTCTCTAGACTCTCCCCTGGGTGCCTCTCCTTTCCTACTCAATTCCCCCCAGCCCAGCCATCGGCAAGACCCCTTCCCTTGCCCCTTACCTCCTCCCCATCTTAAGCAACGAGCCAGATCATTTCCAGTGCCCAGGGGCAGCACAGCGACCGGAGGCACAACAGGCAAGTTGGCTTTGTCTGAGGAGGCAGGCCAAGAGATGGAGGCAGGGTGTGAGTTCTTCTGGAAGATTCCAATCCCCTACCCAGAGCCTCCCTCATGCACTGACCGATGGTGTCAAGAATCCAACCCACGGTGCCATCCCCCCCGCACACCAGGATCCGGAAATCGGGGACGTCTCGGAAGAACCTAAGTCTGAGACAACAAACAGGGAAAAGAGGAAGAGGGGTGACAGTTGGAGGGGGTGTTTCTCAGCGCTCTCGTCTTCTCCTTTCATTACAAGCCTTGAGTTACTAGCAAGGCCAGAGAAAAGGCTCATGGGAATGCTGGGGCCCCTCTGCCATGGCCAGGGAAATTCCAGTGCTATCCACTGAAAGTAGGACAGAGACAGGCCAGAGTGCTCAGGGGGCCCGTAGGGAAAGAGGCGTCCTGAATCCTGGGCTCTCACGTTCACTCCCGTCCCAGCACGCACTCTCTCCTGCCCTTTCCCAATGCACACAGTTACACAGCCCCCCAGGAACACTGGAATGGGGGGGTCGGTGAATTAAGCTGCTATGTGGGATACCCATAGCAGAGTCCCAGTGCCTCTGCTTCCAGTCACGCCCACCCTAAGGCCCCTGGGGGGAAGCAGGTGATGGCCTGAGCGTTTGGGTCCTTGCCACCCATGTGGGAGATTCCACACTGAGTTCTAGGCTCCTGGCTTCAGCCTGGCCCAGCTAGTGCAGACACTTGGGGGAATGAACCAACAGACAGAAGTTCTCTCTCCTGCTCTCTTTCTCTCCAATAAATTAGAGTCTTTTAAAAAAAGAAGTAACCCACAGCCCATCTCTGCTCCTCACCCGGCCTCAGGATCATCCTTGAGCAGGTTGAATACTTGCCGAGGGTTCAGTATATACTGGAACTTCCAAAACACCCTGTGTGAGGGGGAGGAGGGCTTGTGGCTGGTGAGGGGGAATTCCAGGGGTACTACCCCCAGCTTCCCCTATGGATGGTCCCCTCAAGGCCCTTACGCGCCCTCCCGCTCCGTCTCAGAAGACCCGGCCCGTCCCTCCTCACCTCTGTCCCTGCTTCCCGCCACTCTTAGGATTGACAAAGACTAGAAGTGGGTGAGTATTAGACACAGGATCAATCTGTATTGGGGGAAAGGAGTAAGGGTAAAGAGAGCAGGATTTTGTCACAGGGCGCTGGGACCGGGAGACGGGGGCAAAGAGCATACCCCCATCCACACACACACCAGAGACTTGCTCTCTCTCCCTGCCATCACCCCAGTAAGAGCTTCTAGAAGGCTGATACCCTTCCCTCGGGTTTTCCCATTTCAGGTCCTGCCAGCCAAAAGGTGTGAAATGCACCCCTACCCCCACGTGGGAAGCCCAAGTTCTCAGCCCTGTACCCGCAAAGCCTCGGAAGTGCTCATGTTTGAATCATCCAAGGTCTTCTGGCTGGCTTTGCTTTGTCTCCGATCCTGTCCAGAGACCTGAGTGGGGAGGGAAAGCCAAGAGGGAGAGAGTTAGATTGTGCCTGCATCCTGCACAGGTGTGTGTCTCCAAGCTTTGTGTTCAAAATGATGCTGTGTGAGTGTGTGTGTGTGTGTGCGTGCGTGTGACAGGGTGGTGCTCCTGGCCTCTCCTAGCTGCTGCCTGAGGCACTCACCAGCACGCTGGGATAGATGGAAGATGGGGGGAGGATGTGGTCTCTGAGCACCCCACAGTCACACTCCTGGCCCATGGCTTGTAGGCAGTCATCATGGATCTGAAAAACATGGGGCATCAGAGAGAGTGGGGGACCCTGCATTCTTTTCAACTTAGAAGGGTGGGCTGGAAAGAGAACCTTCAGGAGTAGGGCCCCTGGGACGCTAAAAAGATAAGAGAGGCTGGCATGGTGCAATAGTGGGTACTGGTACCTCAAGTGGGTGGGGGTTTGAATTCTGGCTGCTCCACTTCTGATCCAGCTCCCTACTAAGGGGCCTGGGAGAGCAGCAGAGGATGGCCCAAGCGCTTAGCCTCTACACACATGTGGGAGAATCAGGAGAGGCTCCTAACTCCCAGGGTCAGTCTAGCCCAGTACTAGCTAGAATAGTCACTTGGGGAATGGACCAATACATGGAAGCTATCTCTCTCTCTCTCTTTTTTTTTCTTTCATTTTAACTGAAAGGTGGAGTTAGAAAGAGAAAGAGAAATAAAGAAAAATCTTCTATCCACTGGTTCACTCCCCAAATGGCTGCAAAGGCAGGAGCTGGACTGGTCCAAAGCCAGGAGCTTCTTCTGGGTCTCCCACGTGGGCGCAGGCGCCCAAGGACTTGAGGCATCCTCCACTCATTTGCCAAGTGCATTAGGAGTGAGCTGCTGTGGAAGTGGAACAGCTTGGACTCACAGACACCCCTACGAGATGCCAAGGCTGCAGCCAGAAGCCGTACCCACTATGCCACAGCACCGGCCCCCTTGTCTCTCCTTCTCTCTCTGGAACTCTACCTTTCAAATAAAGGAGATGAAAGAAAAACACACACTGTAGGTGTGAGAGAACTGTGGGAACAGGCCCTAGGCCAAACCTGCACGGACAACTCCCAGACTGACCTCTAGGTGGCACCACACACAATGCAGTCCGGTCAGGCTGTGGTAGATGCGGATTTTTTTCTGACAGCGGTCACAGCGCCCCGACTCACAGCCTCCTCGCACCCACACGTGTGATTGAACCTTGCGGGGGCGGAAAAACAGGTTTTTGTCAGAGGAGGGTCTGAGCAGGGGTTGGAGAAGAGAGAGGAGCTGAGAGTAACAAGGGGTCAGGGGCCAGGGCAAAAAGGGCAGTGATGGCGACATGGGTGGTCAGGGGGGGGTCTCTCACCCCAATGTCCTTCCGGGACTTGGCGTAGGTGCTGACTTCACAGGGCAGGGCCTTCATTGTACAGTGGTCGTGGACAGTGTACTTGCAGACTGTGGGGGAGGGGAGCAGGTGAGAGGCCCAGCTGCTGCTCCTCTCCCTCTGTCTTCATTTGGTGGTAAGGGAGAGGGAAGGTGAGACAGATCTGGAACTTGTTAACTCCTTGCTCTGAGGGTGTGGCAGAGAATGAAGGGGGTGTGTGATCTCCAACACCTGTGCCTCTGTCTCATCCTTCCTTTAAAAACAGGACCATTCATGTGTCAGCTAGGCTTGGTGGTACAAGAGAGGCATAGAGACATCCACAATAATAGTGTTCATTACATCTCATAGTATGTGTGCCCCGTGGGAAGCACGTCTCATGCATCCACTAGGTAATGCTCATAGCTACTGCCTCTTCACAGAGGAAAGGAAGGCATACAGAAGTTAGGTGGTTTCCCCCAGGACTGAAGCAAGCCTAGGAGTTAAACAGAGCCCTCTCTCGCTCCGAGGACTGGGCTTAGAGACCCTCTTGTGTCCTGCCCCCAGCCTTCCCCTGCACCATCACTCACGGTTACAGCTCAGCCCCTGTTTGCCTAGACCGATGCACGACTCGCAGAGGTTGCAGTAGACGGGTCGGGGGAACCTCTTGGGTCTCCACATGTGCTGTCCATCATCCTTCAGTGTCTGCAAGGACACAGCAGACAAGAGCGAGTGAGGCAGCCCCTCTGAGGGCCAGCCAGGGCAGCTGCGTGTCTGGGGGCGGGGCGGGGGGAGACGCCTTGGTACTTACCATCTCCAGACCCAGCAGCACCAGCAGTGGCACGGTGGTGGCCCCGGCCCGGACCCACTCGGCCAGGGAGACAGAGCCGCTGCCGTCGTAGTCAATCTCCTTCATCATCTCCTGGAGAATCTGCGAGTGGGCAGGGACTTGGAGGGGCTGCTCTGACCCCACTCGGCTCTTCACCAGAGCACCCGAAGGGGGCTGGGGGCGGGGAGGGCAGACTCCCTAGGGAAAGGCTAGGAAGGAGGAACTGCCATACCGGCCTCAGCTCCGACACATCCCAGTCCAGGTATTCAGCCATTCGCATCATCTGCAGGATGATCTTCTCCACTTCCTGGCGCAAGGAAAGTAAGAATGGCCACGTCGCATTCCCACTACTACCACCATCCCAGCTCTTCGCCAGATGTCAGGGTTCCCAGGTTCTACCCCAGATGACGCGCCCCCATCACTGTATGTGTCCGAGGCAGCCCTCCCCATTCCTATCCATAGCATCCTCCTTGAGTCAGGAGCTTAGACCCTACTCCCTGACGTAAGCCAAGAGAAACTCAATGATTTCCCCAGGCCTCCTCTGCATCTTGGGACCCTGGAAGGGTTGAGATGGGAAGTCCAGCCAAACAGACACATGCTCCCTTGCCCCACATCCTCTGGGTCCCCCGACTCACCGAGCTATCCAGGATCCCATTCCTGTCCGTGTCGTACAGCTTGAAGGTGACTGTGGGGTGTTTTTTTGCGGGGGGGAAGGGCAGGAGAGGGCAAGGTCATTTTGTGAGAGACACTCAGAATTCGTAAAAGGGAAACAGAGATGGGGAGAGATTTTGGGTGAAAAACATGGAGCTGGGAAGGGGACTGAAGGAGACCCAAAGGGAGGGCAAGTGGGCATGCAGTGGCTTTGCCAGGGCAGACAACACACACTCCCATAGCCCGAGAACATCCCAAAGTCCCCTATGTGAGAACACACCAGGGCATTTCCAAAAGCTCATAGAAAATGAAATTCAAAAACAAGCTTTAGTGCCAAGTAATGTTTGAAATCCAAGCATGGTTTTTTTCACAATATGTATGTCTCATGAGTTTTCTGAAGCCCCTACATGAGCATGGATTTCAATGATTTCTTTTGCACCAAAGTCAACATTTTGTTGTTTTGCCTGTTTTTTGTTTGTTTGTTTGTTTGTTTTGAGCCAGACAGAGACACTGAGAGCTCCTATCCAATTCTCCCAAAATGCCTGCAATGGCTGGGGGCTGTGCCAGAGTCTAGTCGGCAGCTGGGAACTCAAGAATGGCAGGGGTCTAGCCATCGCACCTGCTACTTCCCAGAAACCAGTTCTCAGGGACCAGCATCAGGAGCCGAGCGAACCTCGGGACTCAGCCAGGGAGCACTGGCATCCCAGCCCTATCTGTGTCTTTTGATTCCATTTTCCGTGAATCTTTTGAAGCACGCTCATGTAAGACGGGGGGGAACTGGATTGACTATGGCGGATGGCATTAGGGATAAGTCATCTGGGGGTGGGGGAGATAAGAGGAAATGGGCCCGTACTCTGGCCCCACCTTTGTCTGGCCCTGTCAGCCTTTAGGAATCCTGAAAGAATGAGGGGAGAGAGGCTGGAGAACCCTTTTCTTTTTCTCTCCCCTTCCTCCCCTCTCCCAATCTAGTAGGGTAACTCACACTCCAGCTTGTCTTCCGGCCGGCCACCCTCCAGAAGAGAAAAATAGCAGGAGACATCACTGAGACACACCACATCTGGTGATGGAAAATCGCAATGGATCTGAGGTCAGGGGTCCCCCTATGTCAGCTCCTCTCTCCCCTTAACTTTCCTCCCTCTGGCCCTGCCTGAGCCCCCCAGCCCTCACCCCCACACCATGTGACTGGATTGGACTCTCATGCTCAAGTTCACACCTGTTGGATTTCTCTTCCAGCGGCCCAGGCCAGCCCTACCCGAGTGACCATACCTTTTGAAACAGTACTGTCTGAGCAGTGATCATTCTGGAAGGATTGGAACAGGGCCAGGCTGAGATGGCTGGGAACATCGTCCACATCCAGATAGATTTTCAGGAATTGTTGAAATCCTTCATAGCCAATGGCCTGGGAGAAGAGTGGACATCACCCTTGGGAGTGGTCAGGGCTGGGGACTAAAGGCTGGGGAGTGGGTGGGCTGGGAGCTGGGCAATGATGGAGACAGAGGCTGTGGATGCAGAGCCCGGAAGTGCCTGGGGCAGAACTAGGGTGTCTGGGGCCTGAATTCACTGACTCTCTAGTTTGGTCCTAACAATGTCTGTTGTGACAGCAGACACTAGAGTCTCTAGGAAGAAGGGCAGTTCCAGACTACTAATCCTAAGACATGGATGGGAGGAACTGGCCAGGGAGAGGATTTGCCCAGCGGCCACGCACATCTCCTTGGAGGTACTGGGACATGCGGTCTTCCTCAAAGAGCTTCAGGACGTCGATGACCTTTTTGGTGGAGTCTAGGGGAGAAGGAAGTGGGAGAAGAGCATTCAGTCCCCCGGCTGTTGCTACCTCCTGCCACACTCCCACCCAAGACATCCAGCAGGGGAAAAAACAAAAACAAAAACAACAGCAACAACAAAATCAAATGAGATGATGCAAGAAGTTCCAGGGAAACACATGGGAGGATGGAGAGGAATTATTCTTAAACTTTACTTGTCTGAGACCTAGAGCAAGCAGCCCAGATATAGGAAAGGTGGGCTCCCCTAGCTGGTCACGGGCCTAAGCGCCCGAGGGGCTGGGGCAGGGGGTGGGAGGAGGGGTTGCGGGGAAGAGGGTAGGTCCCCCTGGTTTGAGCCTCTGGGAGGAGGACTCACATTCCATGTACTTCTGCAGCTGGGCGAAATCGCTGGGGCTGATCAGGCCCCTTTCCTTAGCCATCTTTTTGTTTTTCCTGAGGATGGCCAGAAAGGCAGCTTCGTAGTAGAACCTCCCACGCTTGGTCCTCTTCAGAGGGTAGGCCTGAGGAAGATGATGGCAAGCCCCAGCTGTCCCCGCCTCGTTGCTGCCTGCTCCACTCGGCCCTCCGCATCAGCCTCCTCTTCCCTTAGATCTCTGCTCGCCCTGACGGGGTCAGTCCTCTGTCTCATCTCTGACTCATCTTTGCCTTTCTCTCGCCTCCATTTCTGGATGCTTCTGCCCCAGTCGGTCTCGATTCATTTTGACCACCCTCACCTCCCCACCTCAACACTCGGCACTGTCCTGTCTGTGGTCCAGGCCTACCCCAGCGCCTTCCGCTAATCCACAGGCCCCTGGCTCTGCAATGTTCCGCCCTCCCACCCACCCAGTTGCCCAGCTGCCCAGCTGCGTTTGCCCGCGACCCCAGCGAGGCGGTGGCGGCCGGTCAAGGTCTGCGGGCGGCAGGGGTAGGGATTCTTACAGCCTTGGCACGGTGCCCGGGCCACGACCCCATCTCGCTCTGCCTCCAGCCGGCCCCCAGCCCGTTCAGCCACTCTCTCTACCCGGGCCACCCACGCCCTGCAACGACCTCTAGCGCTTTTGACGCGTGCCAAGGAATCATCTTCGGCTGGGTTCCTAGCTGGGGCTCCGCCTCGCCCGCGTTCCCGCGGAGCTCGGCTGGGGAAGGGAGGGGACCCAGGCGCGCGGGGCTGGGAGGAGGTGCGGGTAGGGAGGGCTCTGGGCGCGCGGCTGGAGGCTCCGAGACCGAGACCGGGGGCTTCCTTCTTCCCTGGCAGGGTCAGCAGAGCTTGAAGTGTTTCGGAAGCCCGGCGGGGGGGCTTGGATTGTCAGACCCAGAGACCAAAGAGCAGGCATCACGTGGATCCTGCTGACCATCAACCTGGGGACCGCCTGCCTTGAGGCTCGCCTAACAGCTGCAGCCACAATAAAACGTCTTACATTATCATTCTAGTTCAGCCAGGTAACGCAGTCCAACAGAACTAGGGCCAGTCACATCTGGCTTTCTTTCTCAGCTGTGATAACACTGTGGGACTTGGCAAGGCTGTGTGTGTGAAATAGGAAGAATGAATCTCGTCTTACAAAGTCTTACATGAAAGAAGACACCAAAAGAGCCGTGTACAATGCTTGGCATGGTGAAAGCCACCAAGAATTGGCAGCTAGTACTGCATGTATAACTAAAATCAAATCTCAGGAAGACAGGAAATGATCGGTACGATCAGTCATGGATGGGCAAACAGCCTCAAACTGGCCGACGCAGTGGTAGGTGGAAAAGTAGAAGCCCCAGTCCCAGGATGGCATGGGGGCCTCTGCCTACACGTCATTCTGTCCTCCTGTTGTCCTCCCACCCCCCTGCACTCCCTGTCCTCCTGCTCCATACACACAAGCTAAGTGCAGAGCTGGCAGGTGGACTGTGCTGTCTGCCTGCGACCCTCCTCCTTCCTGTGTGCAGAGCCAGCATCATGCATGCCTGAACTGTCAGCTCCGTCAGAACGTCGTCTTTGAGTGTTCTGGGCTGAGGAAGCTCCCCTCCTTTGCGCAGTCCACACCCCTACCACCTTGCTGCCTTGATAGAACTAAGCCCAAGTGGAAATGATTTCCCTCTATTTATTTCTGCGTTGATTGTCTTCTACCAAAATAAAAGTTTCTTGGGGGGCAGGCACTGCCCCCTCAATACATAGCTAGTGCTTAGCATGCAGTGGGTGCTCAGTATGGATTGTACATAGGGTTGTGCAAGATAAGGGAGTCATGTTTTGGGACTATTAATCTACCTAGGGGTAAACAGCATGCCAATGTATCCACCAGGTGAATAGAAGGTATTGTGGCATACATACAGTAGGTGCTAAATAAAGAGATTTTTTTCAATGACTAGATGATGTACAGAGGGATTCCAGCAGCCACTCATGGATCAGCTCAGGAGGGCAATCAGAGCCTATAAAAGTAGCCCAGCCCCTCTCCTTTGTGATGGTGCCAGCCTCTACCCTGGGTCCCGTCTGCTGTTCACCCCTGCCCAGGGCACCGTTCCTGCTCCCGCTGTGACATCAACAGCCTGCAGAAAGGATCTGGCTGTCTTCAGGAACTATAATCTAATGACTGCTACCAACAGATCTAATGAGTGTCTAACAGTCTCAAGATCAATAGGGCCTGTGTGGCTTAATTAGCTTCTCTAATTACCCCTGGGGATTCTTAGATGATTCCAAAGTTCTAGGAAATGGAATCTGAAAAGTGACAGAGAGCCAACCAGAGCCAATGAGAGAATGCAGGACGGTTCTCAGCTTTCCTGTCATGAGTCAACACTTTCCTGCCCCTTCCTGTCTCTTCCAGGTTCTAAACCTGGAGGGGTTGTGTACTCACACAGGAAAGGGGAAACACATGGGCTTTGCAATTAGGCGTGAGCGATTAGAATCCCAGCTCTTAGATGAGTCCTTCAATCTCCCTAAACTTCAGTTTTATCACTGGTAAAATGGGTACCTGGAGTCACATGGTTGGAATTAATACAAGAAAACACATGCAAGGTACTGAATAGCCTGAATGAAACAGAGTAAACATTCCATAAGTGCTAGCTACCATTGTTATTATGAAAGGTGATACTTGGAGAAAACCAAGTCTGGCCAGGTCAGGCAAAGAAAACGATGTTTTGATTGGAGAGACACACGCTAGATCTCCCAGGAGCCCTGTGGTACACGTCCCTCCGTTTTATTGGTATCAGGTGCAGCCACATAATAGTGCCACGATTCTGCACTTTGCCTCTAGGAGGCTGATGAGGTGGCTGGAAACTAGAGTGTCAGGGTTCAAGGACACCCCTGGGCTAGGACCTGGGATCTATTCAGTTGTCTTTCTGCTTTCTCCCCTGTGGCGGCTCCTGCATGTGTGGCTGCTCCTGGACTCACAGGCAGTGAGTTGCAGAATCCTGGGACCTTTAGACATTTGGAACAAGTCCTATTTTGTCCTGGGACTCCATCCCAACCCTGAGGCTATAACCTGGGCTAGTCCAGGCGAATGCCAGGGCTGGGAGGAGGGTGGGGTCTGCTGCCTGCCTGCCAGCTATTCGTGACTCACCCTTCCCTCCACTCCTGGCTTCCCTACCCACATCCAGCAAAGTTGACTTGGAGGCTGAGGACCCTAGGACATCCTCCGAACTCAGGGTCACCAACCCTCCCAGAGCCAGGGACCGGAGAAGTGTCATCCTGGCTTCAGTCCGTTACACCCAATTGAGAGCCCGTCATTCTCTGGTTTTAATTTTCAACATTAAATACAAACATTGCTGTTAGCCAAAAGACAGATTATTCTAGCAAAAACAAAGAGTTAACGTTTAAAGTTTCCTCATCTACTTTAGCATTCATTGGTCACATTCTACAGAAATCAATCATTCCTCAAGAATTAGCTGCACCCCCACCCTCCCACCCACCCTGCCACCCCAGGACATTCAGGTTGTTCCTACAAGAAACCCTGGGGGTAGGCACCCCTGGTGAGAGGGGCCCAGGTAAAATTATACAAACTTCTGACTCCCTTATCCATATCGAGTAAGCAGGGGGCGTCTATTTTCTGTTTTGTGTTTTTCCTGTCCATTCCTGCAACAAGTTGTGGTCCCTGAGAGGGGATTGCTGGCCTCAGAATTGATGAAACCTCCACCAGCATGGCCTATGGTGGCTTGCCCAGTGAAAGGGGACGGCGTGTATGCGCGCCTGTGTGTGGAGGGTGACAATGCATAGTACAGGAGGAAGTGTTGGCATGTCGGGGGATGTGGGCTTGTACGTTCTGAGACTTAAGAGATGCCCAATAATATTTGCGTGTCTTCCTGG